CCCCCAAAACCCCAAAACCCCAAAACCCCTTTCCAATCGAATTAATTGATATTAGGACTAAAAAAATGAACGAGGTGAGTACTTTAAGGAAAGTAACCTAATCGCCTTAAATAGAAAGCCATCTCTGATACCATTATCGGAAACAAGGTTAATACTCAAGGGAAAACTTCTGAACCCAAAATGAAAGATTTTGGACACCCAGAAAATGGGAAAAGTAAGAATCTTTACTATCTGAACTTCTCTGGTCTTGGGCCACAATTTCAGATTTCGAGACTGCTTTCACCTACTTTAACGATTGATATTAAGTTATATCGATACACTTCGCTTCTGTTTCCATAATATGGCCCTATTCTAACAGAAAAGTCTTTACCAAGATGGTACAAATGAACTTGGCTATAGCCTAACAAGGGTAGGATTAAAACATTCTTAGTATATGATCTTCAGAAATGGCAAAATTTTGCCATAATTAAGAATAAACTTGCTCTTAGTTTTAAATCACTCGTATCACCGAATTCAAGGAAGCTGATAGTTGCCTTCATTTCTTTAATGGCACTACAAATTAAGTTAGGCATATCACCCTCCAAAAGTTAGGCTTAAATTTCAGCCAAATACGAGGTGCTATTATAACACTTTGAAATTAACTAAAATTTTAGCAGGATCTAGCATTTTTGAATAAATTCTTCTCAATTTTTAAGCTGGTTACTCACCGATATTCTTAAAATCATTCTTCAAATTAATATTTTTATTTGAGTATAATGGAAAATTTAAAGTGAGAAAAATTTTCTATAATAATCCTAAGTGGAGGCTGCTGTCTTCTCAAAATTGAAATTTCTTTATTTTTCTTGATATTTTTGCCAGAAATAGACCCAGAATTTTGCCATTTTTCAGAATAATGCCAATATACAGCTTTATAATTACCATAATTGGTCGGCTTTTCGTTGACCAGATTGTTCCAGAAAAATGTTTTAAAAATTACATTTATCTCAGTTGACATGCTTCTTATAGCTTCCTTCCAAACAAGGGAGTGTAATTATGGCAATATCAATAAGTTTAGCAATTTTTTGAGGTCTATGACTTCTTTTTAGCAAAATTTGGAGATTCCTTAGCCTATCTACTTGCTGATAGTATTTCTCATAATTTCTAAATTTTTAAAAAATTAGATTTTATTAAAGATTAAAATATTATTTTCAACAATTTTTCCGTAAACTTTTGATATAGAAATTTGCCATTATAATGACAAAGTGGCAAATCGGCAGATTTAGGAGAGAGGAATCTTGCATTAACTCAATAAGCACAATCTCGTTTAACGGGAGATTAAAGGACAATCCAGTTCCTCAAAGTCAAGGGTTAGATACAAGCCATGAAGAGGCCAAAAGGGAGCATAAATTACAAAATAAGTCTTGCTCCTCAAATGATAGTAGGATAAAGGATGTAAACATATAGGAGATAGGAGCAGTAATTATAAACCTGCTAGTAGGAGCAACTATTCCTCAACAGTGACAGAAATCTTACAGGGTTGGTTTGAAGCCCATATTGATTATCCTTACCCTTCAGAGCAAGAAAGAATAGAACTCTGTGCAAAAACTGGTCTATCGAGGAAGCAACTCAGAGTTTGGTTGATCAATTCCAGAAAAGTAAGAAGATAGCTTATCTTTAGAGAAAGGCGCCAAAAGTTATTAAGAAAGTTGGGAGCAAGGATACTCATTCAGATTTCTCCATAATGACTCCTAAAGACAAAATTTTTGATTTTGTACATTGCCAAAACCAGAACGATTCAAATGTCAGAATTTTAAGCAAAAGCAAACCCAATGTGTTCGAATTGATCCAGAACTACAACTCGAGGACCATTCAATTTTATCAGAAGAAGATGCAGGAGACATGTGATAAGAAACTGAATTCCTTCTGCATGGCTCTAAATAAATATTGATTCTGAGAGCACATTGAGTAAGTTTTAGGTTTTCCTAGGCAGTATTCTAACAGCATCTTTAATTTGCAACAAATTTTACCCTAATATAACTCTTATAGCTTCAGCTTTGAGAGCTTATCAATGACAAGGACTGATTCTTAATTTTTGTCTTAGCTAAGTTGCCATGAAATTGCTATAATGCCCCTATTTTTACTATGAATATTAATAATAGATTAATTTTCATTGAACTCTGTCCAATATGGGGTTTTGGGGTTTTGGGGTTTTGGGGTTTTGGGGTTTTGGGG